AAAAAAAAAAAAAAAAAGCACAGATGTACTTAAGGCAACCATGGGCATCAGCAAGCTCCAGTAGCCATTGTTGCAGCTCCATCCTCCTTTCAGTTTCCCACCCTTCTTCCAGGCGACATAGTGACCTGTGTTGCCCAAAAGAGACCCTGCGTGGTCCCGAAACTTTGGCTGTTTGACGCATGTGACGATTTCATAAGTGCTTTACTTCTTGCACATATCTTCGAGTGCTGGAGACTTTTATTATGGACAATCTCAGCAACATGACACAAAAAGTAAAAAACCCTACATGATCCAAAACACGGCTTTGGCAATACATACACTAGAAGTCCATCAATTACATACTTGTGCTGCTGCAAATTTAAGAACTGCTATAAATGAAGCTGGGCCGGTACAATGAAGTGTCAATAGAACGAGCCTGCAGAATACAAAAAGCTTGTTGAAGAGCTGGCGATGTACCAGTCCTCCACTGGCAAGAGTACAATGTGAAGATCCCTTCATGCAAATTAGGCCAACAGAGTCATGCTTGTTTACTTCTGATTCATCAAGTCCACAATGTCAAAAGCACTAAATCCAGAGCACAGGGGATGTGGTGTTAACAGGAAGTACCACACAATACTGAAGAGGTAACAGATCATGGTAAAAACAAGTTACAAATGGACATTTAGCTGGATTATCATTAAGAAAAAAACGAAAATGAAGAGTAGGTGGATCATAAAGAGTTCAGGGGTGGGATGTCTGGATTTGTGTTCCCAGCTCTGCCCACAAGTCCAGCAGGGATCTTACCCGGTCCTTTTTGAAAAAAAACAATATACAGAAGAGACTCCACAGTGGAAGGACATCAAGCTGGGAACATTAATCTGGCTGCTACTGTCCGAGGGACATTTAATGCAAAGCGGTCTGGAAAAAAAAATGTTGAAAACCAAAAATATCCCTGATGTTCAGACATATGGTTTGTTAAGCCTTAGTCTTGTGCATGCCCAGGAGGCCCCTAATCCCATCACAAACTAAAGCTCCAACTCTGCTCCAAATCGGTGGCAACTCCAGTAATTTTGCATCACCATTCTAAGGAAACATTTTACTGGCTACCAAGGATTGGTTAGATCATAGCTCCTCTTGGCAGGGCTAAGCCCAAGGATGAAGATAAGGCCTGTGCATAGCATGGACCTGGGATTGATCTGCTCTACAGGAGCTGGGTTTAATAGTTTGAATTTGAACAGCTGACCCAGACGACAGGGAAAAAACAAACAAACACACACTACTTGTCAAGGACTGAAGCAGAGGCCCAAGCTAATAGTCTCTCATGACATCTACTTGCGTGATCCAAAAACATTTTAACCAAAACCATATTTAACCGTGCTAAGGAGTGCTTCTCACTGGTTAGCGCAGTCTGAGCGCTCGCAAAATAAAAAATCCATAGCACAGTGCTGCACTGGACGGCAGTCTAACGATGCAGGTGGAAGGGAAGGACAGTTTGCCGAAAGGCAAGTTTCCCGGGGGAGGGTATGGACCACAGGAGAGGGGACCCGATTTGAGCAAGTAATGCAATTCACCCATATTACGTTATTACTTAGCCAATGGAAGCAAAGAAAAAAGGGCTTAAGACAGTTTCCCCGCACCCGTGTGACTGTGCCTGAAAAGCCAAATCAGAGCCATCATGTGTGAGAAGGAGTGCGTAACAGTGGTAAAACTGATAATGAGATCTGCCAGCAAAGCACAGACGGGGTTTATTATTCTAACAATACCTGCCCAGCACACCCTTTACATTCCAGTGGAAATATAAAAGTTCAGAGAAAAACTGATTTGAGATAAGAAAATGTAAGCAGTTTTTTTTTTTAATGCTATGTGAATGAGAAACACGCAAGTATAAAATAGGTAGAAACATGACTGGTCACAGCAGCAGAGTTGGCCGAAGTCTTACCTTATCTGTCAGAAGAGGTTTTATCTCTGTCAGCTGGACATCCTGCAGTTCATCCATACTTCAGATTTCAGCAGAAGAACGCAGATGTGCAATTCTGGAACACAATAAAGTTCAATTAAAACGCACGGCCGCTTACTACGCAGATCATAAATCTACAACCCATCTAGCAGGGAAAACACCAGACACTTCCATCTATTATTAAACTTGATTGAATCTTAAAGCAGTACACCAGCCATGAAAATATAATATATAATCAATATTTACCCCTCAATACCGGAAGTCCCATATAAGGAAGCCAGGTGGCATGTAATGACCTGGCTTCCTGATTAGCAGGGAAACAGTCTCCATGCTCCGTCACCAGGTGATGAGGGAGCATGGAGCCAGCTTTCTGGCCAATCAGGGGTGGGGGTAAACTTGCTGCCTGGCTTCCTGATTGGTCGAGAAGATGGCCAATCAGGAAGCTGGGCGACAAGTCATGACACCTGCCTGGCTTCCTGATTGGCCCAGGAAGCCAGCTGCATGCTTCCTCATGGAGCCAGCTTCCCGATTAATCAGGAAGCCAGGTAGTATGTATGTAATGACTCGCTGCCCGGCTTTCTGATACCGGAAGCTCAGGTATCGGGCTAGGCATCAGAGCAATTGGGCGAGTAAGAGTATTGGCACAGATACCCCTACTAGTAAACACAAAACTTTTCTACTGTTTTCTAGATGAATGATTCTGGCCAGACGGACATCTAGAAAACAGTAGAAACGTTTTGTGTGCTACCTGGCTTCCCGATTAGCCGTGAAGCTGGCTCCATGCTCCCTTTATCACAAGTGCCGAGGGGGCATGAAGCAGACTTCCCGGCCAATCAGGAAGCCGGGCAGCGTGATTGGCCGGGACTCGCCACCTGTCTTCCTGATACCAGAAGCTTGGGCTTTGGGCTTGGCATCGGCACAGATACTAGTAACACATACCAAAAAGTTTTCTAGATGTCCTTCGTCTGATGGCCAGCATCATTCAACACTTCCTCTGAGTAG